ATGCAAGGTGGGGATCTGCTTATCATTTCTCCAGCAGGAGTCTAGCACAGCCATTCCTCTGTAGAGGCTAATGAAGTTCATTCAGATGCCTGAGCTCTCCTGGTACCTGAGCCATTTGGTGCTCCACCATACTGTTCATGCCTTCTGAAGAAAGGAAGGGTGAAAATGAAATTCTTTTCCAAACCTACCATATTAGATCACTGCAGAGACCAATCCTGGGTTGACTGTCTCATAACTCAAGTGCTTTGGACCACAGGAGATTTACATTGCAGATATTTTGGGGTCTTGGAATGTCTGAATAATAATGAAGTAACTTTGGGATGGAAGCCAAGTCTAAACGTGAAGTTCATTTGCATTTCACGTACACCATATGTACATAAACTTAAGTTATTTTGTACAATATGTTTACTTTTCCTGCTTTTTGACTACAGCCTGCCCTATGAGACTAAGTATGAAATTTTCTATTTGTGTCCTGTGAATATTTAAATTTCAGATTTTGGACCACTTCGGATTTTCATACAAGACAGGCAGTATTAATTTTATATTGGAAAATTAAATTCAAGACTGAGGAATGAAAACATTAAAAAATAATGCAAATGATCGTTCTGAATTGAGAATGAACAGCAGAGTAGCTTGAGAACATGTTCGCAAAATGTACACCAACACATCCATCTCCCATTCCCCCAGATTCTGGCTCTAGATACATGGGTTATTGCCAGGTATTAAAAGCTTTCCAAGTAATTCTGATGTACCAAACTAGATTAAAAATGGGACTGATGGTCTCAAACTATGTAACTCTCCATATACAGTTATCATCTAATATTAAAGTTTGAGACAATATCTTCTGTTGACATGTAAATTTTACTTCCACGAGGCTAGGACGTATCATACAGGAGTTGAACTCCAATTGTAAAAGTGTCTACTACTCAAAATCAATCAAGTTGCTGCTCTATTCTTACAGTGATTTTTTTTTCAAAAAAGATCATATTTTTACCTTTTGAAATTATAATGTAATTACATAATTTACCCCTTCCCTTTCCTCCCTTCAAACCCTCCTATGTATCTACCTCCTGCCCAGGTAGACACTCTTTTTCTAAATTCATGGACTCTTTAGTTGTAAAACCAGATTTTAAAAATAAACCTTCCATTTCCACCCAACTAAAATTAGCTCAATTATAAAAAAGATGAATGAAGAGTCAGATTTGATGAAGTGGGCTTGCATAAGTGCTGTCTAGATCCTATAGCCCTCTAGTTACACTTTTATTATCTGAAGGCTCCAAAGGGTGCAGTTTTAAGCACAGGCTGACTGTCTAACACTCATTTCCCAGGGTGTGAACCTGAGGTTAAATGGAATGAAATCCCTGGCCTCGGAAACCACGGTTAGAACAGGAGTTCTCTCTGCTAGAAAGATGCATGTACTGTATTGTATTTATTTGCTTTTGCCAAGAGAGGGCATTAAAAGATGCAGTGGGAAGCCACTGTCTCCATTAACATCTGAACAACAATATGCCATTCCTAAACTTGGATCTATAATTACTCACATAAATGGAATAATACATGTAAAATTAAATTAGCTTTATTATCCCATTAAAGGAACCATTTGATTTTGTCAGTTGGGAAAAATCTTATAAAATCAGATGTTGACTTAATTAAGTAGAGTAATATAATGAAGCTTCAATGTGTAAAATCAGATCCGGATAAGATCCTATAGAGGAGGCAATGTGTTAGCTCACTTGAAAATCTTATAGAGATTCTCTAATAAACATCGAACTGCAAAACACAAGCTATTAGATATTTCATTCCTTATATTTTTGTACGAATAATCCCCATGACAAAAGGAATGATAATAGAGTCAAGGGGATGGAGAGATGCCTCAGTTGGCAAAGTGCTTGCTGAGCAAGCAGAAGGAACTAGAGGGTCCCCACAACCCTTTAAACTAGGTATGGTGGCACTTGTCCCTAATTCTAGGATGGGGAGCCAGTCTGTCTAGCCAAATGGATGAACTCCAGGTTTGGTGACAAATTCTGTTTCAAAAAATAAAGTGATTAAGAATAGTCACTGCTCTTTGAGAGGATCTGAGTTCAGTTCCCAGCACCCACATTTTAGCTCTCAAACATGTGTAGCACATACAGTTCCAGGGAATCTGAAGCCACTTTCCCCATATTAGCATTCCTGTATGCATGTGATGCACATACATGTAGTCCTGTGTGTGTGTGTGTGTGTGTGTGTGTGTGTGTGTGTGTGTGTGTGTGATACATTAAATGACTCTTTAAGAAAAGGAGAACAATAAACAGTATCCAGTGTTGACCTCTGGCACGCGCGCACACACAAATGCAAACCTATAAATAAACTATCTAACTTAATGTTGTCTCCTTTAATAATTACTAGACTTATCTTTAATATTTCCAAAGAAACTTATTATAAAACCTTGCTCTTAATTTGTCGGTAAACTTTCATATTTCATTTTAAATATACCCATTCACTGGCTGAACAAAAGATTATGTTAATTCACCTGTGTTTATCCCTTATAATATGTGGACTTATTTTGTTTGGGAAAGGAGAAAAGTGGTTAATGTGAATTACTACCAACTTTCCCCAGAAAGTAATAAAATGCTTTATTTTTTGCAGTTGACAGAATCCAGATAACGCACTTGAAATTTGATTTTATTTCATGACAGCATTGAAGGATATTTGAAAGGAAAATATGTCACTTAATGGGATAGCATTTATTATATCACCAGTGACATTTCCTAAAGAGCAAAACTTGAATAAAAACATAAAATAAATATTGAATATTTTTAAATAGCAGGTGGCATTGGGCAGAGAAACAGTTTTCCTGTCAGTAGCATTCATTTTTAAAAGGCACATTCTATTTGGAGGAGACCTTTGGAAGGATTATAAAATGAAATCCTGCATTTATTGAAGGCTGTAAAATAATGAGATAGATAGCTCTCGCAAAATGAAGCAAGGATAAATAGCGACACGACAAGGGCGGTGTCTGAGGGCGGTGTCTGCTTTACCTGGCAGGAATTAGTTTGCCTTGAAAACTCCTGAACGATTCTGTGCAATCTGGGAGAAGACTCTAGCCTCAAATCATGAAGTGAGTTAAAAATAGCAAAATGTTTTGTTAAGACAAGCCATCTGTTCTAAAGCATCAGCAGTCAGGAGACTGAGGCTGTCTCCAGGAAGGCTCCTTGGGCTCACAAGTGGAAAGATGGCTACTCTACAATTGATGGTCTTCTGGGTCTCTTCACGTTTATCATTTCTTCCAGCCTGTTCAAGAATTGGAAGGAATAGTGATAAATACTCCATTCCAAACAAGGTTATGTGCCCAATCTAGAGGGGAGACAAAGACAAACTGATCCTGTAGCTATAATTTTCATTGTGGACTGGGAAACTGAAAAAAAAAAATAACCTTTCCACCTCAGGCCTCTGTTTGTGTCAATTTAGTGGAAGGAAGCTGGAGGGATAACACTCACTTTGGGAGGATGTGTTAAATGCTCAGCAAGTGATTCAGTGTGCAGCCAGATTTGAGAACTGCTGTTCTATGTTAGGAGTGGTTCTCTAGATCCAAGGAAAGGCCTCCCCAAGTAAAAACCCATGGTAATATTTGGCAAATTGGACTCCAACTAATTTAACTGGAGGCCATGGAGGTCTTGACCCATGAGGGAAAACCCATCCATTTCTGTTGTGCACAGAATAATTTCCTAGAGTGTAAATGATCTTTTTATCTTCTTTTTAAAATTTGGAAGACACATTTCCAAGAACATGTCAGGTTTTTGGCTGGCAGGAAGAAGCCACAATCTGGTGAGAGAGATGGGGGAGAGAGATAGATGGAGAGAGATGGAGAGAGAGAGACACAGAGACAGAGACAGAGAGAGACAGAGAGACAGAGACAGAGGGAGAGCATTAGACAGAGACAGAGAGCACCAGTATGTTATATAAGAAGAACATCTTGTAGCCTGATTTCGGCGTGCCACGAATATTTTTCACGATGGAGCCAAGCCTTAGTATATTTTCTCCCATAGCTTTAATTGCTGGATGAAAATTTTTGTGTGTTTAGTATTATAGTTCTTCTACTTGCAAGTCAAATAGGAAGTTCAGATGTGTAGACATTAGTGCTATCATAAAATAGTAAGCAGGAAATAAAAAGAAAAGAAATGTAATTGCAGCATCCACAGGTATGGCCCAGGTTGTTGTTAGTCATGTTGTCTCACTGTGTTCCTTCAGGGTCAGTCTGAGAAGCTGAGAGTTTCTGTAGGAACAACCACAGTGCTAGGAAAGAGCTGAGCTCTCCGGCTTGCTGATGCAGCTCACCTCTAATGAGGCTGACCAGATGCTTGGAAACTTAATAAAGATCAATCCTGTATCTTCAGACCTTGAGAATGACCTGGAAATGGGAGGTGCAGAGAAGGGCCGGGGCTGGAAAGGAGAAATTTGAGGTGACAGTACAGGGAAGTAAAATTACATGGTGGTTTTAGGAAATAAGCCTGTTCACAAAAAAATTCTGGTCAGAAACCAGTGTTATAATGAGCAAAAACCACCCACCTTCAGGAAAAGCCAGCAGGCATGTGAGTTATCAAGAGAGATTGAACCGACAATCAGGGAGCCTGACCTAGGCACTCTGCATGTATGTTACTGTTGTGTGGCTTGGTCCTCTTCTGGGACTCCTAACAGTGGGAACAGGGGCTGGCTTTAACCCTTTTACTGGCTTTTGGGACCCTACTCCTCATACTGGGTTGCATTGTCCACCCTTAATACATGGGGAGGTGCTTAGTCTTACTGCAACATGATATGCCATGTTTTGTTGATATTCGTGGGGTACCTACCCTTTCCTAACAGAAACCTAGGAGGAGTGGATTCACAGGTGGGAACAGAGTGGGGCCAGGAGTGGCGAGAGGCTGGGAGGAAAGGAAGTTGGAGAAAACTTTGGCTGGAATGTAAAATAAATAAATAAATAAATATTATATTATATTATTATTATTATTGTTGTTGTTAAAAAGAGTACAATTCAGTGAGGAGGGCTTCTGGAAACAGTCCCATTCTGAGAGATGTGTAAGCTGTTTCAAGGAGAAATCATTGGCAGAAGCCTGAGGTATGTCCCAGACGATGATGAAAAGGAGGAGATATCAGCTAATCATTTCCCACACGCCACTGATAACCTCCAAGGTCCAGTAGAACCGGTAGAAGATGGTACTGATGCCTAACTGCATGATTCAGCTAGGGTTTGTCCCAGGGCTGGGGCTAAACTGGTGTGTTGCTTGGGCAGAATTGGTGATTCAATTGTAAGGATCCAGAAAGATACAGAAGAAATGAGCTGGGGAGGCAGTTGCTCTTGGTACAGGTGATCCTGATCCTGCCATTTCCGGAAATTACCATCTGTGCTCCATCACTTTTCTATAAAAGGAAAAGAAAAGAAAAGAAAAGAAAAGAAAAGAAAAGAAAAGAAAGATCACCCCCACGTGCCAGAAGAATTCTGTGTCTTTCCTCTACTCTCCCCACTGTTAATGGAGATGAAACATCCATGCTTTTTTGGTAAAGCAGGTGTGCCTGACCTGGGCCATAAGCAGAGCTCTCGGGTCAACTGTACTTATTCGTACCATTTGGAGCAGTCCCAAGATAAACAACCTACTTTGCTTCTTCCCATAGCTCCCGAGAAATGTTGCTATGTCCTTGTCTCCCCTCTCTCAGCTTATTCCTTTCCAGGTCCAGAATAAAATGCACAAGTCAGATCTTCCACATCCTCCGTGACCTTCATAGAAAGTGAGATGTGCCGCTGACTTCTGTGAGAGAAAGTGCTCTATCTGAAGCAAAATGGAGACATTTAGAAAATTCATAAATGGAGGTGCGCGCTGGGCTTGCTGGGCTCCCAGTCTGTGCTCCCTGCCTGGCCTTGAGGATGTCTGCTTGCGGCTTGGGGATGGGGTGGAGGGGCTGGGGAGGGGAGGGGAGGCAAACCTTAATGGGTTTCCCTGAGTAGGGGCGGAACTGGGGAGGAGGAATATCTGTGCCTGATCTAGCTAGGGTCCATTTGCTGAAAGACAGCAGGTTTTGCCTTGCTGGGGTTTGCTACCATGTCCCACAAGGGCCTGTGGAGTGTAACTCCAGCTAACAACCCTACCTACCCTTTGTCAGCCGCCTAAGGTATCAGAGTGAAGAACACTCAGTGGACATTTCAAAGACATTGAGGGCAGGGAAGGATACCTTGTGACAAGAAAGGGGAAAGATAAATGAGCATTTCACAATTCAGTTGATAAAGTTTTCCTGGAGTGCCTCTATTACAGATACTCTTTTTATTAATTGATGGGGATGGGGGATGGGGACGCGCGCACCGCAGTGTGCTTAGGAGGTCAGAGCAGGGCTTGTGAAGTCCAGTCTCTCCTTCCACCATGGGCTCCGGGAACTGAACTTCAATGTCTGTACACGCTGAGCACTCTGCATCAGTCTGTCATAAATTAATAAAAGATAGAGCTTTTCTTTTTAGCTGCATGTGATGGTGCTCACCTTTAATATCCCAGCACTAGAGAGGCACAGGCAGGTGGATCTCTGGGAGTTCAACTCCAATAGGTTAGTCTATATAGTGAGTCGCAGGCCAGCCAGGGCTACCTAGTGAGACCTTGTCTCAAAAACAAACAAAAAATCCATAAATGGATTCATTTCTATGCTTTTTATTATATTTATTATATTTTTTGTTACTTAAAGCAAATTTTAATTTTACATGTATTTTGATCATATTTTCCCTCTCTCCCACGTCCTTCCAAATCCTCCCCGGCCCTATTCACCCTACTTTAAGTTCTTTCTCAAAAGAGAAACACATCCAGACGGTGGTAGCACACGCCTTTAATTCCAGCACTTGGGAGGCAGAGCCAGATGGATCTCTGTGAGTTCGAGGCTGGCCTGGTCTACAGA